CCACGGCCAAGTAAACAAAGTGTACTGTCAAGCTTTGACTTTTTAACAATCTGATGAGAAACAATATCTTAGTGAACTTGAACCTCAACTTAATATAAGTGAAACTGAATATCTTCATATACTTAAGATGTGCGTATTATTTTGGAAACTGTCTTTTCATTCCTTTGCCTATTTTTCTATAGAATGATTAATTATTTTTCCTTCAAACATTAACATTTTTGTAACACTACCCATCTTTATATGTATTTGATGCAAACACTTTATTTCAGTTTGTTATCTTTGTGGTGTATTTTGCTATGTGTAATCAGTGTATTAATCCTCTATCATCTGTATTTTTAGATTGATTTAAGAATACAAATTATACAGGAATATTCACCCTCATTTTCTTCTAGCACTAGTAGTTTTTTTTTTCTTTTTCATTTAGAAGATGGATTCATTTACTTTCTTATTGTATACCCAAGTAGAATTTGTCTGTTTTTATAATTTGTAAAATTTTTGAGTGGTGATCCAATTGTCTTAACATCTATTGAAAAGACCATCTTTTCTCCAGTGATTTGAGATGTTACCTTTATCCCATACTAGATTTCTGTAGATATCTACTTTCCTCCCTGATCTTTCTCATCAGAAACTGGTTTGATACTATTTTAATTATAGAGACTTTGTATTATTAATATCTATAGATCAAGATACTCCTTATAACTTTTCCTATTCACTGTTTTCCTACCTGTTATTGTATATTTATTTTTTCACAATTATCCTACATAGTGTTAAGCTAAACATAGTCTGAATATAATATCTCACTTGATAACAAAGCTTGTCCATATATTTTTTGGGATTTCATTAAATCTGTAAATTAACGTGGTGAAAAATAAGATCCTGTTTATTTTGAGGCACATTAGACAATGACAAAGGCCACCTTTCCACTTACTCACATCTGCTTTTATGACTTTCAGTACTGTTTAAAGTTTTCCTCAAAGATTTCAGCATCTCTGTAATTCCTATTTTTGTTTTTTACTATTTTTTTTTCCAGTACCGGGAATCAAACTCACGACGTCGCCCTTGCCAGGCAGGCACTGTGCCACTGAGCTAAATCCCCAGCCCCAGTGTTTACTATTATAAGTAGGTTTTTCTGCTTCATTACATCTTTTACCTGTTATCTATGTAGATGTCATTGTGAAATGTAGTTTTTAGCAGTGTAAGATGTCTTCTGCCTCATTTTATTTTTTTGTGTAAAATTCTACTCTGTCCAGTATGAACATTTCAACTCTTAGTTTCTTATTGTTCACATCTGCCTAAAAATATATACCTAGTCCTTTATTTTTAACCTTTCAATATTAGATAGTTTTCTTATATTCAACATACAGTCGAGTTTTAGCTCATGGATTAGTTTAAAAAATTGTAATTTAATAGATGTGTTAAACTCATTCAACATTGTTGACATGGCTTTTTTAAATAACAATGTTACTGAACTAAATTTTGCATATTAGAGAATTTACAAACTTAAAGTGTTGGATTCAGTAGATTTTAGCATATTGACAACATTGTACAACAATGACCCCAATCAAATTTGCATTAGTTTGTTATCCCAAACAAAACATTCTACACACTAGCCCTCACTTTCCATTCCCAACCCAATAAATCACTATCTTCATTGATTCGCCTGTTCTGGGAATTCATTCACGCATTCATTTACAAGATAAAACATGCTCATAGCAACAATGAAGACCTTAATATATCCAAAGAAATGGAAATTGTGCAAAGTGCATTCTCTATCATGCCATTTATGGGTAAACCTAGAAACTGACACCAGAAACATATTTAGAATACAATAATTTCTTTTCTCTCTTTTTTCTATTATCTGTTTTTTATTTTTCATACTTTATATATTAACTTTTTATGTAAGGGAACTATGCAGTACTCAAGCTTGTATGTCTAATTTACTTCACTTAATATTATGACTTCAGGGTACATCCATTTTCCTACAAATGCTTCAAGTTTATCTTTTGTTACCATAGAGTACTACTGCATTTTGTACAAACACCACATTTTCTTTATCCATTCTTCTGTTAATAGGCATATAAGCTATTTCTAATCACTATGGTATGACGTTTTTAACTTTTTTTAGAAAATACCTGAAAAGGGAAAACCTGGGTCAAACGGAATTTCTATTTTTTAGATTTTTGAGGAATTGCCATATTGATTTCCATAGTGTTTGTGTTAGTTTACACTCCCACCAACAATGAGGAAAGGTTCCTGTCTCCCCACAGCCTCACCAGCATTTGTTATTGGCATTACTGGCCAGCTTTCTTTCTGTGGTGAGATGGAATCTTAATGTTTTAATTTACACTTCTCAAATGGCCTGCAATGTTGAACATTCTTTTCTTGTGTTTATTACCCAATTGTATTTCTTCATCTGAGAAGTATCTATTCATTTCAGATGCTTATTCTTTGACTGGGTCTTTAAACTTGGGTGGTTTACCTTTTTTTAGTTCTATTTTTTATTTTAAAAATAAAAGGAGGCAAATATTAACAGACAGACAACATTGTACAAAATTACAAAGGAACAGTACAGACAGTACGGAGTTACAAACAAAGTGGTAGGGAATTACCAATGCTTGTTGTATTACATATTGATATCTTCAAAGTGGTTTCTCATGAAAACAGATATAGACATGCAATCAACCAAGGACTCATTGACAGTTTCTTTCAGCAAAGAAATACAAGACAGTAGAACAGCCATGCTAACAATCCTGCATATACATACATACAATCTTTCTCCTGCTTTCCCTTCTCTTTTCCCACATCCCAGTTGCCCTTTACCTTTGAGTGCTTTCCTATCAATTTTTTTAGTTCTTTATCTATTCTACATGTTAGTCTTTTACCTGAGAAATAGCTGGCAAAAACTTTTTCCCAATCTGTAGGTTATCTCTTCACTTTGTTGGTAGTTTCTTTTGCTATGCAAAAGCTTTTTAATTTAATGTGATCCAATCTGTTGCTTTTTGGTATTATTTCTTATGTAACTGGGGTTTTATTTTAAAAAAAGTCTTTGTCTACACCTATGTCTTCAGGAGTTATAACTATTTTTGTCTTCCATCAGATTAAACATTTCTCTTCTAACATTAAGATATTTGATCTATTTTAATTTTAGTTTAGTGTATGGTGAGAGATATGGGTCTAAGTTCAACCTTTGGCATGTGAATAACCAGTTTTCCCAGCACCATTTCTTAATGAGGGTACCTTTGCTTCAGCAAAGGGATTTGGCCCCTTTGTGAAAGATAGCATAACTGAGTGTGCCTAGAGTTGTTTCTGTATCTTCTACCATGTTCCACTGATACATGAGTCAGGTTTTGTTTTGTTTTGTTTTATTTGCAAATCCCATGTTGTTTTTAATCACTAGTTGTGTAGAATAACTTGAGGTCTGGGATTGCGATACCCACTGTCTTGCCCTTGTTGCCCAGAATTGCTTTTCCTGTTCTAGGTCTGTCTTGATTCTGTATTAGCTTTAGAATTGGTTTCTCCAATTCTATAAGGAATGTTAGTGGTATTTTTACTGGGATTGTATTAAAGCTATGTAACAGTTTTGGAACTATGGCCATTCTAACTATATTCATTCTACCTATCCAGAAACTGGGGATAATTTTCCATTTTCTAATATCTTCAATCTCCTTTTTCAGAGTACCATGGTTTTCACTGTAGAGGTTTTCCATTTCCTTGATTAGTTTAATTACTAGGTGTTTCATTTTTCTTGATGCCATTGTAAAAGTACTGTTGCTCTAATTTTCTTCATAGTGAGTTTGATATTGGTGTACAGGGATGTTATTGATTTTTTACTATTAACTTTAGATCCTGCTATATTACTGAATTTGGTCATTGAATTCTAGGAGTCTTTTGTTGGAGATTTTAGAATCTTCTATGTAGACAACCATGCCACCTGCAACTACAGAAATATGTTGAACAAAAGTAGTGGTAATTGACATCCTTATCTTATGCCTGATTTTAGAGGGAAGGCTTTCAGATTCTCTCCATTAAATATGATGTTGGATGGACATGGGTTTGTCATAGATGGCTTTTATCAGATTAAGATAAAGATCTTTTCCTATTTTCTTAAGGGTTTTCATCATGAATTAATTTGGAATATTTGTCACGTTCTTTTTCTGTATCTATTGAGATTATTATGTTTTTGTCCTTGCTTCTGTTTATATAGTGAATTACACTCATTGATTCACATATGTTAAATCATCCCTGCATCCCTGGATGGAAACCTACTTCACCATGATGTATGATCCTTTTGATGATTTGCTGCATTTTGTTTGCCACTATCTTATTGAGGATTTTACATCTATGTTCATTAACAAGATTGGCTTGTAGTGCTCTTTACTAGTTTTTTCTCTGATTGATATGACTTCTTTGCTTTTGGTTATTTATGAAGTTATATTTTCTGTGATATTTGTGCTTGTACTTTTTCCATATCCTTCATTCTTTTTTGTCTTACTTAAGGATTTATTATCTGAAAATATTCAATAGCACTCCATCTCAAAATAAATGCCAATGGGCTATGGCCCATGTGAGCTTTTATAGCCTGATTTGTAACTTCTTTCTGTGGAATTTTTTTCTATCATTTTGCACTTATTCAGTGAACTTGAATAACATACTTTCTTCATCACACTTAATAACACTTCCATCTCATTTTCTTTGTACCTGGATTTTTTTCTAAGTAAATGTCCTTTCCCAAAATTTTTATATGAGTTGGTCATTCAGATCTCAGCTCAAATGTCATCAGCATAATGCTCTCTGACCCTTTGTTTATAAGATCATGCAAAAAAAAAAGATCATGCACAAATCAATCTCTACCATTAACCATAATGCTCAAATTTTTTAAATGTCAAAGCATGTGCCACCACTATTAATATAAATTATTATTAATACAAATTACAGGTCACTAATCTACATTTAGATTAACTTTTTTCTTCCACATATGAGAAAGAACATGTGATACCTACCTTTATGTTTCTAGCTTGTCTCACTAAATGTAATGACTTCCAGTTTAATCAGTTTTGCTGCAGATTCAAGGATTTTATTCTTCTTCATGGCTGGATAATCTTGCATTGTGTGCTGCAAAGGGTGGAAAGAAGGGGTAGAGGATAAAGGGAAAGTATTAACAGTTACCAAAACACAGTTAGATAGAAGAAATTCAGGTGCTCTGCATCACAGTGGGTCCTATAGTTTGCAGTAACCTATTGTGTATCTTCTGAAGTTCTAGACAAGAGGAACTTGAAGACCCCAAATGTAAAGAAATGACAGAGTCAAAATACTAATTATCCTGATTTGATTAGTGCACATGTAGACATGTATTGAAATTCACACTACAGTGCATTAATATGTACAATTATTTCATTGTAATAAAAATTTAAAAATCATACATAATGATGTATTCATTGTAATAAATATTTTAAAATCATAGATACATTTGAAAGGCCAAAGAAAAGTATTTGAATGATCCCTTCAACTGAATAATAGATTTTTCATGCTTGCTAGGCATAGTTAAACTGCTGGTCTAAAACTTAAAAGCCTGCATTGAATATTTTGAAGCTGTCAAATGGAGTGCAGGAATGGAAAGATATTTGGCATTGAAGAGGTAGTAGTTGGCCCTTCCTGACCAACCAGATGACAGCACTGCCTGGTGAAGTTTTCCCCTTGACTCCACATCACAGTTTGAAAGCTGCATCCATCCTCATTCTGATGTCGTACACAGGCCTGTTTTCCTATATTCTCTGGCCCAGTCTAATAAAAATATATGATAAGGGTACAGTCTGAACCCATGAGTAAAATATGTAGAACGTTAGAGGCCTCCAAGATGGAAGTCTAGCACCAGATTTCCAAGCAATTTTCTAACTTCATGCTACGTAAAGCAGAAAAGATAGGCATCATGGATTGATGAGGTAGAGTTCAGTAACATGGAGTTTCAAAGTTTGTTCCAGATAAAATGGTAACTGGAGCTGGCTTTAAATACCAGCATAGTCTTGAGATGCTCGCAAAAGTTTGAGGAACAAAGCCCAACCCCAAATGATACCCACAGTCTGGAGCTACATTGTAGAATCCTAGTGGGGAAGAATTTCTTTGTCATGACTTTGATCAAAGTCCATAAGATATAAAATACCTTTACAAACTGTAATACTTTTTATATTCTGTTGAGCTAATAAGTACAAGAATATCTCCAGGGCAAGAATGGATCATAGGGAAATAACTTCAAATATGGTTCTCAGGGGCTAAAGAATAAACCAGATGGTTGTATATTTCAAAACTGGGAAAGAACAAATTATAGCTATTTACAATTCTGCTCTACAGGCAGTGCATTTTCCATAGGATGAGATCTTTGCTAAGGATTATTAACTTGAAAGAAAATAACTACCAACAAATGATATTTTAATGACTAATATAAAATATCTTACTTTTGCTGTAATTTCACTGGAAAAACATATTTTGGTAGAGAGATCTTAAATATATTTTAGAAGCTCTGCTCAGTTTTTCTCATGAAATGAAATAATGATTTTAGGAAGCAAAGCACTAGTATAAGTTTCTCTTTAAGGAAGTATTCACTTCAACAAATATTTAATGAAGTTTTGCTATGGTCATGGGGTGATACTATCACTAAATACTAAGGGGACATAAGGAGGAATAAAATATATTCTTTCACAACAAGGCATTTATAATCTTGTGAACAACTTTCCCAAAGCTAAATTTTTGTATGCTGTGATAAGAGTTAGCAACAATATACAAATGACCCAACCCACTCACATTTTTAGAAGCTGTTCATTTTATACTTGCTTTTAGGATCTTTCCAATTGGAAAAGGAAAATCCCACAAAACTTAGAGAAGTCAGACTACTTGCAGCATTGGACAAATGCAATCAGCAATGAGAAAACAGTGAACTGACGAGGTAGACATACTTTTGATTGCCTGGTTTTATGATAAGACAATGAATTAATTTACCTAGAAATCAAGCAGTGATTTTTGCAAAGAGTTGTTTTAGTGTAAAACCCTTATGAAAAGGAAGAGCGAAACATCAAAGGAAGATGCTTTCAGCTTGAGCAAGGAAAATTTCAGCTTTGGTCACTGTAGGAAAACAATCTACTGACATTGCCTCACAGTTTAGGGAAAAGCTGCAAGGAGTAGCACTATAGAATATAAAAAGAAAACACCAGGGCTAGAGATCAGATATGAAGGGAGAATGCTTGCAGCAGATAGCATTCAATCACATCCTTGAAAAATATGGATAGATACAGCAAACAAATATGTGAAGCCTGATCTTGGCAGAACTAGAAATCTTGTGAGGCAAAATGATTTTTCTCCTGGTAAGAGAGAGGATAAGAGCTGAGGAAGCAGGGATAGTTTGCAACTCTTTCCTAGGTGGTGTAATTCAGTAAACAATGAAGAGTATGCAGAATGTAAAGAATAATTCAATAAGACTAGGGCTTTGGAAAGAAACCTTTGACAGGGCAACATTAAGGACAAGTAGAATCTGGGTGACAGTAGTCCGGACCACAGAGCAGCAGCAAAAGAACTCATGTTTTCACCTTAACAATACCCAGCATATTGATGATCTCATGGCAGGTATTCTACAAATATTTCATTCACTCAACCCTTGATTATAGCATATCTGCCACAGCCAAGCATTTTTGCAGGCTAGAAAAAGGGAGGGATAGTCTATTTTTCCCAAGGAATTTAAAATCTTTATCAATTAGTCATGAAGTTACAAGGTTTTGGGGTCATCCCAGGTTCATTTGATGAATTTGAAATGATTTGCATTTTACTTCCAAGGATACCAATAGTCAGGACCAAGTTGGAGGAATGAGTCATACAAAAGATTACAACCTTCTTGAAAACAAACCAATGAACTTAGCTGTATTTTGCATCTTCATATTGATGCCATTGGCTTATCTCTTTTGAGGATAAAACCAAAATAATATACTCAAAATAATATCTGACTACCTGAGAAGGTAAAAGAAAATTTCTAGAGAACCTGCTGTTCTTTTTGCATATTTCCAAACGCATGAAGAAAAATCCCTACGTAGAAGCCAAATATCCCATGCCATGCCCAAAATACGTTTGATAAATTGTCCAAACATATACAGTGTAGGTGATACTTGCTTGATACACAAGAATTTGGAATAAGTGTAAGGAAAGTACTGTACTAAATGTTTAGCCTCACTATGCTGTGTTTGTCCCAAGCTTGCCTTAATCCTTAATTCCTAAGGAGAAAGCAAAACTGGATTCAAGCCTAAGGTAGCACATTAGCTTGTTCTGGGTGCAGGCAGGAGGTCCCAGAGAACACCATGATCTGTAAAACCTTGGGCAGGAGAGAGGAATGACCATATGTTCATTTAACCCGCCCCCACCTTTAGGTGATTGTCAAGCAAAAAAAATGTCTAACATTCTCTCCTACAAAAAATACCACAAGCTACACATCTTGGCTTGTTCTTCAGTAAGCATAGCCCATTTTCTGAGCTGGTGTCTGGAATGTTAAGAACAATTAACAATTAATAGGTTATCTCCCACTGCTCTCAATTTCAAGTTATTCTTTTGCTGTGTCTTTGCTTTTATTTGTTAACACATATTAATTGTACATATTAATGGAATTCAATGTGTTTTCCTATGTGTGTACAGCATGCACTGATCAAATCCAGGGTCCCTTTTTATACCCCACACACACTTTACCTAATTTCTACTAATTACACACATGCTTTGAAGTAAACTATTTTTAGCTTCCGTATATGTGAGAAATCTTACAAGACTTGTTTTTCTATACTTGGTTTGTTTCATTTGATAAAATGTGCCACAGTTCCATTCATTTTGCTGCAAATGAGAAGATTTCATTTTTATTTGTGGCTGAATAATACTCCATTCTGTATGTCTAACAAATTTCCTGTATCTATTTATCTGTTCATGCACATCTAAGCAGATTTCATATTCTAGCTATTGCAAAGTGCCAACCATAAGTGAGCATCTTTTTGGTATGCTGACTTCATTACCTTTGGATATATACCTAGCAGTGGTATAACTGGTCATATGATAGAATAGTTTTTGGTTTCTTGAGGAATCTCAATACTGTCCTTCAGAATGGATAATTTACAATCCCACTAACAGTACACAAGAGTTTCTTTTCATCTACATTCTTGAATGCATTTATTATTTTTTAAAGCATCAACTCTAATCAAGGTAAGATAGTAGGTTGCTATTTGCTTTGAATTTCTTGATGGCTAATTCTATTGAGCATTTTTATATATTTGTTGAACATTTGTATTTCTTATATTTTGAGAAGTATCTATTCAGATCACTTGTCCAGTTTTTACTTGGATTACTCAATTTTGGCTGCTATTTAAGTTTGTTGAGTTCTTTACATACTCCAGATGAATAGGTGAAAAATATTTTCTCTCATTTTGTAGGTTGTCTCTTTGCTCTGTAGACTATTTCTTTTGCTGTGCAGAAGATTTTTGCTCTGAGGAAATCTCATTTGTCAATTTCTTTTTTTTTTTTTTTTTTTTTTTTTTTGGTTTTTGTAGTCCTGTTCAGAAAATGATTGCCTATTACTGATGACTTCCATGGTTTCCCTACATTTTCTTCTAGTAGTTTCAGACTATCTGGTATTACCTGCAGTTCTTTAATCTATTTTGAGTTGATCTTGTACAAGGGTAGAGACAGGAATCAAGTTTCAAACTCCTCCTCGTGGATATCCTGTTTTCTCAGCACCATTTGTTGAAGTGGCTGTCCTTTCTTCAACATATGTTTTTGGTCCCTTTGTCAAGAGTCACTCAGCTGTAAATGTATTAATATTGCAGTGAGATTTCATTGAATCTGTAGATCACTTTGAGGAGCATGAACATTTTAGAAATATTAATTATTCCAATCTATGAACATGGGAAGTCTCTCCATCTTTTTGTGTCTTCTTTAATTTCTTCACTAAATATTTTATAACTTTCATTATAGAGGTTTTTCACTTTCTTAAGTTTATTCTTAAGTATTAGCAATTATGAATGATACTGATTTTATGATTTCTTTCTCAGCAAACCTGTTATTGGTACATAGAAAAGGTACTGAATATTGTATGTTGATTT